AAAGTTTTCCAAGGGGCTGCAAAAAAGGTTTCTAGTCCCAACCCCTGGGGTAAAAGGGTGAGGTGTCCCATTGAACTAAAAAAAGGAATAATGGAAAAGTACGAGAGGGATGCATTTTGGATTTGGAAAAAGTATACAACAACCCCTTTCAACCACACCTTCTTCACAAAAAAAAGGAAAATAAGGGTGTGTTTTGAAAAAGGTCCAAGGTGATACAAAACAAGATCGAAAATTTCAGTGGACCCCGGTATGAATTAATCTGTTCCTGAGAGCTCATCGTATAAAAATTATTTTCCCCCAATAAGAAATAAGGGAAAAAAAATTAATCCATGCAAGACACCCAAATTTTAAAAAAAAAATTTTTACCACTGAAATTTTAATTTTAAATTCACAAACTGAAAAAGACATGCACAGTTTATATATTATAAAAAATAGAATACAGCCCTTACCTTAATGAAGATTTGGTGATGTTGATGGGAGGGGAGGGGGGGAGTGTGTCGAAGTTGTTAATTTTTAGAAGGGGGAACCCCCTTCCATTAGGACTTGAGGTCAAGCCCTTTTTCGGGGTTACTTCTTTTGCACAACAAATTGCCCTTTAGAGGTTGTACCTCCCGTTCCCTTTAAGATTTGTCTTTATAAAAGTCACCAGCACGGTTTGAAATAGCTGTGTTAGGGGATTTTCTAATAAAGGGTTTTCACTTCAACCCACTTTGCACACTTTTCCCTTAATTTTTAAGTGGACAAGGGATTCCCACAACTGGCATAGGCTTTCTCGGGGTTACCCCGCAAACCCTTAAAAATCTTTTTAAATTTCCATAAAATTTCCCCCTTTTTTCCCCCAGGGTTGGCATAGAACTTTCTTGGGCCCATGGTGACTTATTTTGCAAAAAAACCGAAAAAAAAAACCTGTGAAAATTTTGAATGTCCCGAATGTTTTTTTTGATGCAAGCCACTGGCGGCTTTTAAAACACACACGCACGGGGCAGTTAGGCCCACGGGGAGTGCCCCGGGACGAATCGCTTTGGGGGGTTTTTTTAACGAGTGGCAGGCAAAATTTTTGCGTTAAAATGTATCGTTTTCCGGATTTAAAATTACTGATCCCATGTATCCCGGGGGGCCCCTGTACTCGAAGATGGGGAAAAGGAGTGTTTTTGGTTGGAAAAACGAAAAACAATTTCAGGAATAGTGTTTCACAGTCAATCATATGTGGGTGTTTCACAGTCAAACAGTAAATCATAGGGAGCGAAAGAGTTAGGTGCAACAGAACGACCAAAGCTCGGGGTTTTCCCTTTAGAGGTGGGGGAAAGAGAGATGGGGGGAAGTTGCCTTCATCAAAGTTTAAAGGGAAATTTTTGGGTACAATGTTTAAAAAGGGTTGCAAGCATTTAGGATGAATATTACCCTGACACCATGTTCAAGCTGTATTGGAAAATTTGTCTGACACTTTTGGACCCTTTTTGGGGGAAATTTTAAAGGGGGACGTAAAAAACAGAGCTCTCTGGCACACTTTTGGCGATGGGTCAGTGACTCTAAAGCTGGTCCTAGTGCCTTTAAAAAAAAATAAAAAAAGGGAGGAAACCCCCAGAAAAGGACTTGTTACCTGCTCACTGCCCCCTACCCCTCATTGTTCATAAACATTTCCCAATAAAGGGAATCTTTTATAATGTTTGTGCTTGTAACTTGTGTTCGTGTAGGAAAAGATTTTCATGTGAAATTTTTTTTTTTAATTTTGGGTGTCTGGAACGGTTAATTGGATTTCCCTTTTTTTTTGGGAAAAATTTAATTCGGTTTAAAACTAAATAGTTAAAGCTAGCCTCTGGAATGGATTTAAAGGGTTAAATGAGGGGCCCCCTGATATCTCTGAAGAATAAAATATGTCATTCATTGGGTACCTTGGGGACAGAGTTTGTCTGGGGGACCGGGCAAAATATGTCTTGAAAAAATTTTGCTAATATCTATACGATTATTTATCATCACAATTCATCAATATGAAAAATAAATAAAAATTTAA